CCATTATTATTCTTGCAGGTCTTGAACACACACACACACACACACACACACACACACACACACACACACACACAGTCTCTGCCAGCAGAAATAAACAGTAATGTAATAATGACAAGCCAATGTTGCTCCAACCAACAGAATCAGATTGTGTTGTACTCTGTGGCGTTATCATTGGCCCGGTAGCACTCGGCCCACCCATTCTCCACCTATTTTATTGGGTAATATGTTTTCTTATATCAATCCTATTTAAGTGTAATATTTACACTGATAGCAGAGGGAGATAATGTCACAAACTGTGTTTTCTTTCACAGGTGTGTAGAGACATAGAGCACTGCAGGGTGAGAGTGAATGTTTAACTAGGTCAAATATTAACCTCATCTGCACTCAATTTGTGGTAATATTATGGTAATAACAGAGTATTCCTTTTGCACTTACTACAGTCTCACACTGAGGGGTTTTCTTCTAAATGGTCTCAATTACAGCAGCACAGGCCTGACATTTAGTTATGGGTCAAGCTCCAAACGCACATGAGCCTGGATTTCCCAAAATGCTGCTGGAAAGACTATATCATTAGGCCTTCCCCGCCTGGTAAATTGTCTTAAAGGGTCCCTATTATGCTCATTTTCAGATTTCATATTGGTATTTTGTGCTTCTACGGTGACTATCATGTACAATGTGTCGGAGCACTAGCCAATAGAAGTGCAAGTGTTACAAAGTAACAATAATATCAATAATAATTAATAATAATGATAATTATTGCAGATTATAGATTATAAATAAATCATTTAGGGACAAGGGGGTGAGATTAAATAAATTATACTTCTTCTCACTCCTTTTCGAACACTAGATGTAGGACTGTTTATGTTGCTAATGCTGTTGTTGTTGTTGTTGTTGTTGTAAATGTCATTCTTTGTTTTCATTTCTCGACTATGCACTGTTTTTGTTTTGTAATTATTTATTTTACTTGTCCGAAATAAAATGTATCTATCAAAGTGATGTCACTGTCACTGAAGCAAACAAAGGATTCCAATCAAGGCTTTACAGGCACTGTTGGGGGTGTAGGAGAGAAACGCCCTCTGGAGGGAACTTTGGGATTTTACATAACACAGTACAGGACAGGGAAAAAAAAAAAAAAACGAATAGGGCCCCTTTAAAAGTCTCCAGGTTGTCTTAAAAAGCATGCAAAGCAGAAAAGAAAATGATGAACTCCAAACCCAGGGTGAGAAAACAGTATTTATGAATGTAATTCTTCAACTTTGGAAACCTAGTTTGGAGCTACAAATCATGGCAGTGGTTTAGTGGTTCTCTTTTACCTCATTCACACCAACGGTGTTTCAGGGCCGGTTCGGAGCTGGAGCTTGAAAAGCACCGGGTTTTCGTGTTCACTTTGTGTCATGTCAACTGGACTTGATGTGTACATTTAGTGCCCCTTGAATGTGAAAAGCCACAAATTGCAAAAGTAATTGATCTCAAAGTGAACTGGAGTAATAAAATCACAGCACAATATATACATGTAGGATTTGTGCCGTTGAATGTGACCAGAATCATGGAGAACACATCCACTTAAACACCCTCATTCCTCTGTTCTCACCTGTCTGCCAACTCTGTTATTATGCAGCCTCATCCTGGCATGGATGTCCCTGTAGGTTTCGCGAGCATCCAAGAAGTCCCTGGAGAACTTCTCACCGAATTCCACGTCGGGGCTGCAGCCGCCCCACTCCCAGGAGTCCTGAGATCCCGGGAGGTCGGCAGGGAAGTGCTCCATGACCCCGTGGACCATACCCTTCCCCCGGTTGATGGCCTCCTGTTGCAAACGGTGCAGTTTGATGCGGAAAGCCTCCTGGTCCCCACGTCTCTTCTCATCACAGCTGCACGCCTTCAGTTTGCCCATGGAGCAAGCGTTGGCCACTGCGTGCACCACGCCTGCTGCTGCGATGGCATACGCAAAGGCACTCTCTCTGAAACCTGTTGTAAAAAGATAGGACAGTTTCTTTGTTATATAACCATGAGTGGAATTATAACGTTTCACAAACTGTCACAATCAGGAAACAAGGATTGGAAAATAAAGCACTGTTGTTTAAAAAAACATGTCATAGCACACAGTTTTGAAGCTCAGTCCAAGACATGTTTTCAGTAAAAATGGCCAAGAGGAAGATGGAGTTTAAACTCTCTAAACTGACACTCTGCTTCACTTTGAAGGAAAAGTCGCTGAAAGCTGAAAGAATGCCTTTTACCAGTGTTATAAGATCAATATCATTTGAAGTGTCAGCAAATTTCAAATAACCTGCAGGCAGAACATACCATTGTGCATGTGACATTTACCTGTCAGGTGGAATGAAAGGATTAGCAGAATGAAGGAGGACATTTGAAAGCAGACCAAATTCAGATTATTATGACTTGTTTACAAGTTCAGTTGGGCTGCATTTCTCATTTTTTTACCATAACAGCACGAGGTACAATAACACAACGCTTACATATCCCTCATTAAAGTGTTGCTGCGCAGCTGCGTGATACAACTTTAAGATGTCAAGTGATTTTCTGAGCCCTAAAAGTCAGTTTTGTACCTCCTCTATTTGGATAAAGATACACAAAACAGTTTATTCACACGTTACATGCCAAGACTCATAAAAATGGGGAAACATCTGGGACAATAACAATTAAGTGTTCGAAACAACACTTGCATACTTGGTCTCTGTGGGCCATGTGAACATGAACAGACCCCCACCACTCCCATCAGAGGACTCACAGAGGAGTCCCACACTGAGCAGCGCTGTCTCCTTCTTGTAAACAAGACATCCTCATACTGCTCAATTGTGGGAATAAAACTATTATCAGGAGTATTTTGGTTACGATTGTGATTATTTACCACGATTACTCATTGACTTTGGAAGATTCATGCATTTATTGAACTTTAAAAACATTTTAGAAGGGGATTCTCTTGAACTTTGAATGTAACTCAACTAAAAAACAATTACACAAATTACAAAAAAGTATCAACAAATAAATAAATAAGTTATACATAATAATTAGAAATAAAATAAATAAATACAATTAGAACACAATAAAGTATCTGCTTAAGTGCACTGCTAAATATATTTTCAATATTTTTGTAAACTATATTAAGCATCAATAAGTTAAATTGAGGAGGAGTCTGATCTATGTTAAGTAAATTAGGGCGCTAGATTTTAACTCAAGACAAAATTAGATCATCAATAACATATCATCCTGATTATCTTGTTTCCATAATAGTTTGAAGCCAACTCATTTCCCAGCCTTACCTTCTCTGACAATCCATAATCCATGTATCTGTTTTTGACATTTCTTCCGAATAAAGTTTAAACTTACTGTACCTTCATATGTTAGGGTAGATTGGCTGATTATGCCACACCACAGTTTTTTGCCTTGTTATCACTTGCAATTGTCTTACAAAGACTTCTGTTGTACGCATATAATCTCTCTACAGGATGTGTGAGTGCTTTTGCCTTCACACCTAAACACATTATTTTCTCATTAATAGAAACTTACACGCGGCACATGTAATGAGGACAACTGATCTGCTATTTTGGTCTTCATTTACACAATTGCACTGGCAATACACACATATATAACATTAGCGCTGTCCATGTAGTATCTGGGACAAATAATAATACATTTAAAATAGTTAAATGCTTGAATATTGAAGGAGGAAGTGCGACAGTAGCGCTCGCTCGTACCCTCTACAGCGTTTGTTGTTGGATCTCATCCTACTGTGCCCTCAGGTTGTATTAAATCAGTCCCACTTGCAGTCATTTACTGGAGCAGAAAACAGTGAAGATTATAATGAAAACTTGTAAGGAAAACATGAAAAGAAACCACTTAGGAGTTTATAGCACGCTGCTTGAAGGGGAAATTATTCAGGCTGCTTGTTGGTGTCAAATAAAAGGCTATTAACTGGAACTGCCCTTTTTAGCATTGTTTGATGTTACTTCCTTATTTGTATATTTAAGTAATCTTCATGCTATTTTGTTTTTGTGAGACATGATGTAAAGTATGACACATGTGTTGTCATTGTGGAGTTTTGTATACTTGACATCGGACACATTAACAGGCGAAGGCAGCGCAATTATCAGTAAACGAGAAATTCATCCATTGTGCAAGTGACAGTGTGCAGTTCTCCCATGCAACCAAACTGCATGTTTGAAGTATTACCAAGGCTTTTGCCAATTCGCAGAAAGAAAATAACCTAAACATAACTCTTGAAAGACCGATTGCCAGTAGATCATCGCCGAGGGGAAAACATTGAAGGGTTGCAACGCATCACAATGTTATCCTGCAAGGCACCACATTAATCTTAAACAGGCCTTTAAAAACCCCCCCTCTAAGGCATCCACTGCATTGTTTTAATGCAGGGCTGTTTTATTGAAAGGCTGTTTTCAGTCTGACCAAATTAGCCGACCAGACGCAATTAGATTTTTCGGGAGTTTTAATTCCAACGAACTGCCAACTACCCATAGTGTCTCAAAATGCACAAACCCTAACCCTCAAAACTGCATTACACAGTTCAGTCTGAACGCACAACATGGGCATATCAACAGTTTTAGGTTGGTATGACGACCTGCTAGAAAGTTGCTTATAAACACATGTAGCAGATATGGAGCAACAATACAGTTAACATTGAATCATATTACATCATATGAAATCTCAAACAATGGTTTGAATACCTTACGAAAAGTTACTTCTTTGAATGCTGTTACGAGTTATTCTATGAATGTCAATAACATAAGCATGCTTGTGCAACCCCCTGCAGTGCAAAACATGATGAATCAAGAAGGTTTAGGAAAAGATCATGGTTTGGGTTAAAATAACCAAAGCTTGCATATTTATGTTCGCCTGATGAATGCAAGTCTGATAATCACTCATCTGTTTTCCTCTGTTTGGTCTACACCATCTGTTGATGGAAACATATGGCTCTTAAAAAGCTAGGTGCTCAACTATTTTCACAAACTTAACTTTTTCTACGGTTTGCTGCTGAAAACTAGCAGCAAGATAATATACCACAGCATATCTTCTGAAAATAGCTTAATTAAACACCTGGAAACATGAGAGCTATGAGACTCAACCAAAAAAGTAAAGCTTATCGACGCCAAAACCAAACGATGAGCTTAAAGACTCTTTGTAAATCAGTTTAACACACCAACATACTAATAGTTATTTAACAACAACAAAATATTTTAGGAGCTTTACAATTCAACATCTAATTTAGGGCAATTATGAATTTGGTTTTAAACCAGTAAGAAATTAACCCTCACACTCAAGGTAGGGGGGAGTAAAAAGGATTGCACTTAGGCATATCCTTAGACATAGAAAGCCTGTTTTAGCTCTTGGCCTGTTTTAGGCCAGGCTCTGCAAAGCAGGCCCCCGGTAGACCAGGAGCAAATCAATCTAACAAATAATTTACCGGCTGCGACACGCCCGGCTGAACTGATGGCAGAGGAAGTGACAAAATGAATTAAAGTTTCAAAGGAAACTGTCACTTTGTGTTACAGAAACCGACTAAACTGGTTTATGCCTTTGCCGCCGAGAGTTGGGAAAGTGCTGAGAGCAAATTCACAAGCACTTGCACTGGCAAGGGAAGTAAAAGCATTAGAGCAGACCAGCGAGGTGGGACACAGACACAGTGACAGAGAAAGAGAGGGTGATTCTCCTATTTCTGTCTATCCATGTCTTGCCTAACGTCCTCTTTAGCCTAGTTTTTGATGCAAACTAAACGGGAATGAACATGGGCCCATAAAAGTTATCTGAATCCATCAGCAGAGAGATACGTGGCAGAGAGGATCCAAGGACCGCTGATGTAGTAAAATAAGACACCAAACAAACATTGCAAAGCAGAGCCCCTGATATGCATCTCCAAAACTTTTTACATTTGAGAAATCTCTGCATGAATACTTAAAATGGCATATTCCAAATAAGTATTTCATTTGTATTTAGCTTTGCTAGAATGGCTTTGTGTAAACATGGATTAACTGGCTCTTACAGGATATTATTTTAAAAGCAACAATACCAGTTTGGTATACATAAGCCTTGTTTGAGACTGTATTATTTACTTTTCTATGTGCAGTTACATTGAAAATGTGTGTTAATCTCCACAATTCCACCTCAATGAAAGCCCCCCCTGTTGCAGTAGCTGCACGCAACGATAACTGCGGCACGCTAACTTGTATCCATTTTTTAGCTTCTGTGGAGCTTCTGTGGAGCTTCTGTGAATGTATCAACATGTAACAGATGAATCATCCGATTTTAAGAGGTTGTTTATGTCAGTGGTTTAGAGTTTCTGCACCCGAGGCAAACCAGGGATTCAAGAGAACCAACAACTGCCTCCAATAATAATGACAAACTGCCCGTCAATGAGGAGTGAAAGTATGACCAGAGGTGTGTTAGTAAATACAGTAGTTAATAGTTTTTTTTTTTCTAAGATTCACAAAGGCAACAAAGTGAAAAGTCCTCAGTAAGGGTTGAAAAACCTTCATCATATTGCACACAGTTTGAGGAGAACCTACTCGCAACACCCCTCCGGCCAAAGATCTGACGCATTTAATCAGGTGTTATGACGGGGGAATTCCATCAACTATTCAACGATACAGTCTTGGATAAAAGTTTTAAATAGACTACAAACTCAATATTTAAATGGTAAATAGGTATTGTCATACAAAAGCCAATACGCTTCAATGCAAGAAGAGCTCTATGATGTACTTGAAATGAATTTGCTTACCAACAAGTGAAGCCTGAACTGTCAATTGATGATAGATTTAGATGCAATCGGCATATATCGATTAATAATTCAGATTATAAACACTATGTTCTTTCCTATATGGTAAAATACAAGAACTCAACTAAAAACATGAACTACCAACCACATTGGTCATCTATCAAGGTGTGGTGGTCATTAGGAAACGGATGCCTCTCCCAGTCAATAACCTGGGATGATTCCATCTGCAGGGCTTCCCAACTCCAAAGATCCTCTTTCATCCTTTGTAGCTTAGTTGCAAAGCTTCAAGCTCTACAAATCATCAGAGAAAACTGATCTGCATGAGGTCTGGTAATCTTTAGGTGACTGATTGCTTTTGAAGTTACCTGCTCTTTTGTCCAGGTTATTAGGAGACACGGCGAGGGTTGGAAAGTAGATACAAGTCTGCTCCTTACTAGAGCGAAAACTAACCATTTAGAGACTTCACATCTGCAAGATAACATTCAATAATGTCATTATATGTGTTAAAGTAAACTATCCCAAACCCAGTGACTGTGTTCGGAGAACAATATTACATCAACGCTTGTTACGGACAAGTTTCTTTGTGGCAACTAATCTTTCTAAGCCTTTCCTTTCAAGGTTTTCTATCAAAGTGTGTTTGAGGATGAAACCACAGCCTGTTTGAAGACCAAAACCTTTGAACTCCATGCTTGTACTTCCTTGTTTTCTTTCAGGTGTTTTGTGGTGACACCTCACCTCTGTAAATTACACCTCAAGACGTCTCGTAAGGATTCTCTTATGAGATTCTTATATTTTGATCAACTTTGAATCAACTTATTTGTGCTGAGACAATATCTGTAATGCAAGACATCCAAAGCACTCACAGGAAAATGAATTCAATTAAAATTGAACAGTAGGGTTAGGGTTGGCCGAATGCTGTTTTATTGGGACACGGAAACTGACCTCTTTTAAAGACTATGCTGTCGTAGGGTATTTTGTTCCTCGTCTCCAGGCTGGAGCAATTCCAGCGGTGCCCTCTGAACTGGTGTTGGCACTCATGGATGGCAATCTGGATTCCCTGGATTGCTGAAGCAGTCACGTCTGGGTTGCGCATGCACACCTCCAGCTGTCGCCGCGTTAAACCCGGCAGCGTGAGACACACGGTGTTGGCATTCAGGATCGGGTCGATGTTGGGGAGCTTCAGGCCCAAGATTTCATTGGAGTCTACCCTGCATGGAGCACATAGGTCAGGTTATTGACAGAGACGGAAACTCATAAATATTTTGTCACTCACAAACGTTTTTAGGGTTCTGAAAAATGCTTGTTATGTGCCACAACGGTGTTCAGTTCCCACAGTATTAAACATATCCTGACAAGATGAACCAGTGTTGTTGAATAGCCTCAATAATACAGATACTGCAGGTCAATGGTGGCTAAACAGTTACCACATGCTGGTGGTTAAAAAAAGAGAAATGTGCACAATATTTATTTGCTTTTTAATTTTCAGAGTCAGTTGAGAATGCAAAGTTCGGTTATCACCAATATGATATACATTTAAGGCTGTTAATTTTGATAACAATAAATCCATTTGCTCAAATGACATATATCACATATAATTTTAGCTTTTTAAATCTACGACACCCTTTTTCCAGGGTTCATACTATTTAAACGAATATGCCAAAGCTTTCTGCAAAGGCATTCTGTTTCAGTTTGATTTTGTGTTAATGTTTGCCAGATTCACCTTTGGTTTACGGATCTTCAAATTGATGCAATATAATCGCTGTACAGTGGGTAAGCTGAGGGAACAGGATTTACTTACTTATTTACTGTCGGCATGCATCAAATAGTTATAGTAAACGTTTTGGATACACAGTCACTTTTCACCTCAGTAAATCAGTTAGCATGTAAATTCAATGACTTTTCTCGCTGCAAGGTGTGTCCCTGTCTGCTGCCTCTGTTGCAGATCAATCATGTGAACAACAGTAATTCAACTGACAGCGGTCAAAGCCCTTTTCTACTTCACAGAGAAACACTAACAGCAATAAGCAGGAAAACACAGGCTGCACTGATGATTGAGCCCAGAGGTGCACAGCTTTTTCTTTCCATTATCATTACAAGTAAAACACAGGTTGTATGTCGCACTGTGTGTATAACCAGACACACAAATGAGGACCATGTATGGCTGTGGGCGAACATACACACATACAACACCTGACATGCACGCAGGAATACCCAGGTGGAGAGGAGGGAACAGTAACGCTCACAGAGACACTAACACAGCTGCAGAACTTTGCATACTTTTTCTTTCCTTAGCTTTTATGTGCTACGTGTAACATCTGCAGGTTTCTCTTGTGCAAGCATTTTCAAACAAAGAGAAAAGGTTGACTTCCTGAGTGAAAAAAATAGCTTTAACTGTCACAACATTCTAAACTGCAACATGCCGTGACATAAAATGATCTTATGCATATATTAAGGTGGCATTGCATGTACTGTAATTCCAGTTTGTGTTGTTTGTACCTGTTGTGTTTCTTGCTTTGACAGTTGACCTGTTTCAACAAATGTCTTTCCAAGTGTCAACTGTTTATTGATTGGCAACATTGTTTGGGAATGATGCATGGCAAGTAGTAATTTGCAAGAGATTGTAAACTTGTAAAAAGTAGACCCAGGTTTCAGTATGTGACCCGCTCTATTGAAATCAGTCGGAAGTCGCAACGGCTCATTTCAGAATAAATGTGGATTTGGGTGTTTTGTTTGATTTTAAATAAACAAAGTCTTGGCTTTCAGAATATGAAACTTGTATTCCCAAAATATCACGATAAATACATTTATGAAGTTTGTAAATTATTATTTGTGTTCAATCTTAATTTTTTTACGTTATGCTAAATCACTTTTAAAGATCACTGTATTAAATTTAAAAAACGAGTAATTCATGTTATAATGAGTAAAAAACCCAATTGTATGTAATAAAAAAACATTTTTCAGTTAATTTAACCAACATAGGCTATAATAACTTTTCTTAGTGGGATTTAACTCCATATTAAACTCAACTCACCTTTTATCCAAAAGGCAGATAACCACCAAGACGCATGCTATTCTGAGGACCGAGTGTTCCATTTTGAGCATTGCAATTGTGGAAAAAAAGTTTGAAAAATAAAGACACAAGGGTTTAAAGTCCAGTATTCCGCCTTAAAGTTTAAGGGAGGACTAAACAGAGGAAGGAGGTCAAGTCAGGTCCGGATAAACGTTGGCTCTGGACTTGACAGCTCCGACGACGTCCAGATGTGGCAGCCAGCGGCGGGATACTCATTCACAAAAAAAAAAGTTTCATCCACCTTTAGTGAATGGAGGAGGTTGTTAAAAGTTTGAGGAAAAAGTCAGAGTTGTCCCTCTCATACTCGTCCGTGTACATCCCGGTGTTTTCTCCGATGTGTTTGCATAGGTATAACATCCGAAGAGAGACGGCAGGAGCAGATAGGCGCTCTGAATGAAGTCTGCCTGACTAGTGATGTTTCGGTGCGCTCCGATAGTCCTAAACTACTGCACTTAGCGCTTCGCCTGCCCACTTTTTTTTTTTGCGTCACCCAGGGAGAAGAGGAGCGCAGGGAGGTCAAGTGCCTCATTAAAGCAGGATAGAGATCCTTTTAGATAAGGACAGCACAAACACTTAGCCTGCGCCCTATGTGTGTGAGGGAGAACATTTACATTCACTGCGATGCTGAGGAAGAGGAAGGTGGTGGGCGACATGGGGAGTATTGCAAAAGCGAACTTGTCTGGGGAAAACAGGAGGATTTTTATTAAGTAGGGCAGGGGTCTGCCACATTTACTATCAAAATAGCCATTTTGCTTCTTTGTCACAAGATAGAAATGCCTGGAGCCATACAATCTATTTGATAACACTGCTTTTAAAGTTTTAAATACACAAATGAGTTTGATGCATCTGTGAACTTATAGATCGATATAAAAACTCATTTTGAAAGTTTGATGCAAACATTTGTTGTGATTTGTTCATTTCTAGCACTTTATCAAGCATAAAGTTAAAGCTATCATTGGTTGCAGTAAAGAATATATAAATCTTTACAGGCAGAATTAAACTTTCTATTTCATTTGTGACTTTTCATTTTGGTGGATTGAACAATGGTTAGTTTTCCAAGACCAGGAAGTAGACAAAGAAGGATTTGACTTTGACGCATATTATCTGATCAAATATTAATATTATTGAACTTGCCTTGCCTTGCCTTACTGTGTTTCAAGAGCCGCAGGTTCCCTTGATGTAGGGGAATAAAGGATGATGACAAGAATGATCATGAAGGTGATTCTGAGTTGTTAGAAGAAGCCCATAGAAAACAAACTTTTTGAACACAAAATATGGGGATGTATGATACTGTAGATAATGAGACCTTTGATTGATTTTTATCCTTAAATCACACCAGGATTTTTGGCTACAGTGAATGTTAGCATCCATGCACATTGGAACACCTTTTTTGTATCCAGCAATCACAAAAAGACATTTGAAATGTAATGTTTACTTTTAAAAGTACTTAAATTATTGATTTGAAATTGAAATGCCTATTTCAGAGTTTCTTTTCTAATCTTTCTAATTTACAGTGTGGCTCATTTTTTCTTCAATCCCCCTTTTTAAAGGCGATTTTTAGTTGTTTTTAGTTTCATTTCCATAATGTTTGGGGACTCTAAAGAAAATTGTTTTAAAAAAGAGGCGTCAAGATTGAGCAGTAGAGGCTGTAGAGCAGTAGAGATTTATTCACTTTAAATCCCAATGGTTCATGCTCCATAAGTGTCCTATAATGCAACAGCATATTTTCACTACACCCTCCCTGCCTGGTTATTTTCTCAGTCCCTTTTTCCAGAGCTATACAGAGGACTGTTTTCACAGGCTGCTAAAAATGACAATAGGCTAAACTGATGGGATGGAAAATCAGTGGAGTGGTCCTTTAATAACGGACACATGTTCAAAAGCAATGATATATGGGGGTGGGTTTGCAAAGTTCCAATTATCTTAATGTGAAGACAATCGTGTGAGTATAAAAAAAAGTATCATGGAATAAATGAGGGCTTGTTAAAAATTGTCCAGTGAAGTTCATGTTGCGCTCTAACCTTGCCTGCGTGTTACGGCCTTTAATCTTTCAATTTAAATGGCTACAAAGTATAACAGAAAGCTCCCTTGTTGACGAAGACCACATGATATCACTCATCTCCTTGCTTTATGAGTAGCCTAGAATAAAGATCCAGAAACCACTAATAAAAAGGTTTTCCCCCATTGGAGGGAAGCAAGCATTCTACCAGTGTGGAGTCACCAAAGTAGTAAAACACTACACAAGTTCAGCATTCAGACGCAATTAAGTTGCCATACACAAATTGAGGGAACAATCCCACATCAAATTCTCTCTTTGGGAGATTTATCACCTGATCTGGAGGAGTTTGGCAATGACGGAAACTTTGTTCTTAATTATTTCAAGCCTTGTTACACTTAGTGGTTTTTGTGACTTTGGTTCTACAGCAGGATGTGTCGCACGCTGTCATCCTGATTTCTCTGCAGCACTCGCTCTCATCATGACGATTAAATGACTTTCTGAATCACAGCTTCTTATAAACTTGACTCATATAACTCCCCTGTCTCCACTTGGAGAATCAAAAAGAAGGGACCTTTTATGTCTATTGTGACCTGGTGAGGCAGCACTATAAAGGAAATCCTGATAATGTTTAATAGGTGTATACTTTTATTGACTGTCTGGGTTGTATGGAAGCTAATGACTGACCGAAAAATGAATGAAAAATCTAATTGTGATAAATAAAAATAAAACTACAAAAAAATCATGAGTGACAATATGATGAAGAAAGAAATTTCACTTACAAAGTGAAAATTATTCTTAAAAAAATGTATAATATTAAATATTAGTTTTAAAAATTATGGGTATAAAAGATTTAAAGGGGACCTATCGTGCAAAATGCACTTTGTGATGTGTTTTATACATAAATGTGTGTCCCCGGTGCGTCGGGGAACTCACGCAGCTTCAGAAAATAAAACCCTGTGACGTCATGGCGGCGGCGGACCCACAGAAAGTTGCTATCAGAAACAATGCCTGACGTGTTTTGGACATAATCTCATCTTTGTTTACATTAGCAAGCCTCACTAACACTCAGAGCTAACCTGTAATGAAGAGCACATGTGTTTAAAAAGAAGGAAATAAAAAAAGAACTCACCTTGTGATAAACCTGCAAGAAAAAAAACATTTGAGCTCCATACTATTTCAGAAATAATCCTTGACGTGGTTTAAACAGGATGGCGCTTTATCACAACCGAATTTAACTTTATCTCCGGTAGAATTCTGATCAGGCATTAGCTCCTAGGGCTGTACCCGAATATTCGACTATTCGACTATTCGTTCGTTGGTCAACTATT